TGAACTCTGACCACTGATTCTTCACATGCTCGTCCCTGGGCAATGGAAATAAGTGGCTGAACTGTCTTTGCAATGTAAAACACAGCGTCTTCTCGACATGATGCGATTCAGCTGAAGTATTTGAATGTGTTCTAGACGTCACTTCAAGTCTGCACGCGCAGTTGTTGGGAGCGGCCAATGACCTCTCTACGTCACGATGTAACAGATAATGACTCGTTTCAAAAACAATTCATTTCATAGACTCAGAGTCGACTCTCACTTTTGAAAGACAATAACTTTATATACGGTGCACTTTCAGATATAAATCTTTGCAGAATGTTTTCATTCCCTATATTCCACACTACATGAACAGTCATTTTCAAAAATCCATGATAGGTGCTCTTTAAACATTCTTAAACTATTTGTGTTCTGCATAAGAGTGATCTATCCATTTAATTTTTTTGTTAAATTGTGCAAATTAATCACACTATTTTAACGTTTAGTTGACACACAGACATAACATATTGGGGACAATATAAGACTTTATTCCATGTTCAGTCTTCTAAACGCATCCTCACTGATTAGGTTTCTTTGATTCTTGTCGCACTGCAGAAGTTTAGTGAATCCTGAATGATTTGGGTCCTTTAAGATTTGCTATTTACACGTATATATGTCACCATATAGCCTCAAGCCTTTAACATTGACCAGTCCTTATGCATTTGGGCCAAGGACAGACTAAACGATTAAGGGTTAATGGGAATCGACAGGGGGATCGTCTTTCACACTTGGTCAGATGCTTAAATAAGGCAAGTGCGCATGCTGTAGAATGCTAACATCTAGCTTTTCCAGTGTCATCTTATTAATTTTTTGACTTTAACTTTATTTTATGTATAAAGAAAGTGTGCTCTGATTTACTTGCTCTCATAAATTTCATTAATTTTCCCTCTCCCCTGTTTATGATATGAATTTGCCTTGTGACCTCTGGATTAGCAAACATTTTGTGTTTAGTTCTAAGGAAGACGCAGTCATAATTGATATGGCATGGGTATTAATTACTGAACATTTTATCTAGGGCAAAGCTTTCACGGTCCTAAACTCTGCTTGTTCCGTCTAGAGCGGCCGACAGAGGCATTGCTAAGTGCATCTAGGAGGGATTTTGGAAGGTGGAGAGTTAAAGAGAGAGCATCAATGCATTGTGGTTGTGTTGTTAAAACTTGTCATCTCGTTAGACTCCTTAATAATTGATAATCTCTCCCCCATACTTCCTCCCTCTCTCTTTCATGCATGCATGCTTATTCATTATAAGTGTTTGCTAAAGCAAGCATCACTATTTGCCTTCTATTGCACATACATAGTCATTTGAACAAAGCCTTTGTATTATTTAGAGCAGTTGTATCACAGACATGAAGGGAAGCTCAAAATGAGCAAAGATATGCAATTTTCACCTTGATGATAAAACGGGCCAAACATTTAAAACAGATTTACATTGAAGAAAGGATAGAGCCATGGGGTGCGTTTTCCATTTCCTACAAACATTATTTGTCAACTGTGGTTGCAAGTTCTCTTGTTAGCAACATATGTTAACAATACTTTGTTTCCAGCATCACAAAGTTGTGTGGTTGGAACTACAGCTGTCATCCTGCGATTAGGAATGTAGTATGAAATGGGTTGCGTCCGAAAGCTTATAAATACTGCTTTCGGAGAACACATTCCATGGTAGGAAGGCATCAAGGCACGTCCGAACCCAATGTTAGCTTCACTTTCTGTCTCCTGAGATACCTTCATTTGATTGATTTTATAAGGCAGCATAGATGTTTCTGTCACTGCATTTGATATCCCACAATCCTGTGCTTTCCATTTGTGACAGTTGAGCTAGAAAATAAAGATGGTGTCTGAAAGTTGTGGTTGGTTCCCTCTTATGGAGGAAGACCGATAGTTTTCGTTGATTTACATCGATAATCTGGCATAAGATAAAAATCAAAAATCGATAAATAATGTTGAAAACGTACCTCAGAGTATTAAGGGGGTCGCACACCGGACGAAAAGCGCAGCGCCGCGCGTCTTTAAAATTCGAACACATTATTCTCTATGAGTGTTCAGAATGCAGACTCAGCAACGATTGTATTTAATTGTACAGGACAATAATAACATAGAAAAGACATTATCTTCATTTCATGTCATTAAACATTACAATATTAATGGCCATACACTGATGAGAAAGTGCGCGTCTGGTGTGCGATACCTGGAGTTGTCCTAGACGCGGCGCGGCGCTTCTCATCCGGTGTGCGACCCCCTTTATAGGGACATAGCAACACCCTAGCAACACCAAACAACACCCTTGCATGGTGACAGCCCACCAACAATCACTCAGAACACCTTAGCAACCATATGTTCTAGCAACACAGCATGTTACCAAATGTAGTTCATTCTGTCAATGTAAAAGAAGAAATGAAGAGTTCAGATGCAAAAGCCTCTAAATGCCATTTGAAATTTTCTTCTTTAATGATGATTTTTATCAAACTTGTATATTTAAGTTCAGTAATTTCACTTAAATAACAATTAATAGGTAATTATCATTGCCATTTAAGTGAAATTACTGAACTTAAATACAAGTTTGATAAAAATCATCATTAAAGAAGAAAATTTCAAATGGCATTTAGAGGCTTTTGCATCTGAACTCTTCAAATATTGTAATGATATGAGTAATTCCCTTCTTAATTCGATCCAGTGTAGTGCTTGATCCACGTTTCACATTTTAAAATGTGCATTTTAAATTGAAGTGTGCTATAGCAGCCTGCGTCACAGGTAATAACAGCAAGGTCAAACGCTGATGGTCATCAGAGCTGAACCAGAGCTGCTCGGTCGAGCACACAGAGACACACTGTCCTGTATGAGGCTATAAGTCCATCACCACTCACTGCAGATATATATCATGTTTAAACCATAAAATTATAAAATGTATTGCAAAAATTGTAAATTTATTTTCAGTTTCACATTTTCAAATGAACAAGCAGTCAGTAATGAGAGATTTAAGATTCCCAAACATTAAAGGCCGTTAACGGACAGTATTATTCAATATGTTGAGGTAATTTCCACTGAAACAGGAAGACAGGAAGGCAGCTCCTCCTTTTTTTAAATAGCCAATAGAGAGCCTAAGTCCCGCCCCTTCCTCTTCCGGCTCATGGGACCTTATTTCGGAAAAAATATGAATGGTAGTCAATGGCGAGAGACAACTTATCTTTTTATTCCGTCTGATCTGTGCCCTCAATTACACATATGATGCTGGTCAATTTAAAAGCTAATTCTGAAAGTCAAAAACGGCGCAGTTTGTCATACAACAGAAGAGTAACATTTAGTTTTATGTGAAAATCGCTCTGTGAACTACATCTCCCGGGAAGCGAAACGAGATCCGCTACTCGTGTTTGTGTGTGCAGTCTGGTACAAAACACTCAGGTATGATGGCGTAACGTTACGATTATAACGTAAGACTGTAGAAACAATGACAGACAGCCTCGGTAAAGTTAGCTTCATTCATTGAGAGAAAATGTGCGCCTTTGGGGTTTGTAGTCTTTGTAATTATGTATTTTCACAGGCTTATACCTCAACGGTTTTACATCAAACTGCGACTTTCTTTACTTTAAAATGTATCTTTTAAATGGACAAACATCATATGTGTAATTCAGGGCATAATTCAAACGAGATCAAAATATTTGTTGTCTCAAGCCATTGACTTGTCTACCATTCATTATTTTTCGGAAATAAGGTCCCATGGTGGTCGACCGGAAGGGGAGGGACTTAGGCTCTCTATAGCGTTTCGTTTATATCACAGCTCGACCAGAGCTGTTGAGCTCAGTAAAGCCGCATTTGACTGCTCATCATAGCCACAGTCTAATAGATTACCCTTTAATTTTTAATATGAAACTGTTAGCAAAACAGTGAGCATTATCAAAGATGTGCAGTTTGAAAAGTGTGTAATTTATTAATTTATGTTGGGGTTATCTCTTCTACTCATCAGTGCTGTTTAATGCAGAGTCCGTCTAACCGTTTCTCCTCCATCGCTTTAAAATGCAGCATTCTGTGCAGAATTCAAATGGGTCCGATACGTTTTGTGGTCTGCACCACATATGATGCGCTCTGTGCTATCATGTCTCTGGATGCGATTAGCGTGACACTAATGTGAAACCAGACTTCATTCGCCCCAATGGAAAGCACACTGTTTGAATCATCCCCTATAGTGTGCCATTCACCATGTAGAAAATTGTAAATGTGGGAACAAGTGATGATTTTCCCCACAGCTTCAACGTCTATTTATAATGTAAGGGGCGGGGCTTCATATTCTAGAGAACATTTCAAATGATTGATCCATATTGGTGTAAGGGAGAGACTGTAAGTTTTGAATGCTTTTAGCTTCTTAATGCGAATTTTGTCATTGTTTTGGAGCATGCTAGCTTATAGATAACATACTAAAAGCCTAAAATGTTTTAATTAATTTGGACTTTATAAACATAAAGCATTTCTAGCTTAATTTTTGAGGTCAGTCAGTCATTGCTGAAAAGAAATACTTGTGGTTCAGTGAGAGAGTCAGATGTTGATTCAGGAGCAGCTCTGGACCAGAGCCTCTGGTGGATTCATTGAGTTCATTCAGTAAAGGATTTGTCAGACTAATTCAAACCGATAAAGTGAGTCTTTTGTGCTGTTCAATAAAGGAACCTGCTCGGACTACATTGGTTTAAGCATTGTTCTTTTTATTGTGCTGTAGTTAAATGTTTTTCATAACAATCATATTTAGTATATTAAGAAATATTGACCTGTCATATTACATTTCTTTTCTTGAATATTAGTGTATTTTTTCCCCTGTTGTAAATCAACTTATTTTACACACAACGGTCATTATTATGATACTGTCAATATATTCTCGAGAACTAGCTGGCTCACTATTATATTTTATCGTAAATCTCTGCTGTAATGATGTGATTTGGTTTTGATTTTTATTCCTTTGCTTTTTCTTTCCTCCACAGAGAGACACTAAAGGGCAGTTTCTCTTGGATCATGTGTGTAACTACTACAGCCTCCTGGAGAAAGATTACTTTGGCATCAGATATGTGGATCCAGAGAAACAAAGGGTAACTACAGATTCACTACTCACCCAATATTCATTAAATCAGTTCTGACCTAAAAGTTTATTATAACTTCAGCAGATATACTGTGGCTCCAACTTAAAACGCATCAATACAACTCAAGTCACCTTCATTCATATATCGCTTTAAACATTATGGACTGTTTCAAAGCGGCTTTACAGTGATAATAGTAAATTAAAGTAAGAGAGATTGTTTTGGCTTTACAGCAGCTTTAGAATAAAGTTATTGTCCAGCTAAAGTTAGTTTTGACCGATTCAATTCCGATGCAAAGATCATTAGTTATTAACTTAGGGGCCGCTTACATGACACCATTCTAACAGAAAACGGGCTCTGGTCACTCATTCGCATAACAACAGTGCCTGGTAGCTTGAGAACAAAATCTTGAAATAGGTTCCAAGGTGCAAGCCTTGAAAAAAAAATATTATTATAAGTAAATTAAATTATAAGTAAATTAAAGTTTTTTCAAACCTGTGAAAACACGCACATGCATATTACGTGTTTAGTCTGTAGGTATGCGCATCTGAATATATAAGTGCACAGGCGTGTAGTCTTTCTTTACAAATTGACCTCAACAAATTACTTACTTAACTACTTAAAAATGTATAATACCGAATCATTTATCGCTTCCGAGTAGCCATGTGAACCGGAACTATTTTGACAACGTTTTATTTGTACAGAGTTAAAGGGAAGGAGAAGTGGAGAAGTCTCTTCTTCTCAGGGGAGAGAATAGTTGAAACTTCAGGACTGCGTTGTCGTCGTGTACAGGCGCAGGTCCTTCATCAGATCTGGATATGGCCTGGATCCGGCGGACTGCGGTAAACCTCTGGATAAACAGACAGACTAATATTAGCGTAGACGCCATTCTTCTTATGATGCAACAAGTACATCACGATTTATGGGAAGTGTTCCCGGTTCTGGCTGACCTAATCTATGCAGCCTAACATTGAATTATAGAAGTTTATAATGTGTTATGTGTATTCTAGGTCAAAGAGATGTTTAAACTGACAGAGTGTGTCTGCTTCTCGGACAATGTTAGGAAGACTGTTCCAGAGTTTTGGTGCTAAATAGGAAAGTATTTACCGCCAGCAGTCGATTTTGATATTCTAGGTCAGGGGTTTTCAAACTTTTTGTGTGTGTGGACCACTATTTGTAATCAAGAATTTTCACGGACCACCTCATAATACGCATATTATGATATTACAAATTATATTATATATTACATAATCAGGTTCATTTGAACAACAGGCTTATTTCCATAGCAATGGAGTATGGAATCTATATAGTAATAAGAACACTTGGATATAGTCAGCATTTCAAAACCTTTGGCGATTTTAGGGGATTATTAAAGGATTAGTTCACTTTTGAAAAAACTTTTGCTGATAATTTACTCACCCCCATGTCATCCAAGATGTCCATGTCTTTCTTTCCTCATTCGAAAAGAAATTTAGGTTTTTGATGAAAACATTCCAGGATTTTTCTCCATATAATGGACTTCAATGGGAACCGGATGGTTCAAGTATCAAAAGACGGTTAATAACTGTTTCAGATGCAGCTTCAAATGTCTTTAAACGATATCAGACGATGAATAAGGGTCTTATCATGCAAGATGATCGGTTATTTCAAAACTTATTCCAAAAATGTAACTTTTATAAGGACAAATGCTAGCCTTGCTATATTTTCTGAGGCGCGTTTGTAACGTCACGTAATACGTAATTACGTTCAAAAGGTCACGGGCGACGTAGCCGGAAGTACAGAATCAAAATCGTCCGACATCGTTGTTTTTCCTTTTAATTTTGGAATTTTGAGATTGCAATAGACGTGACCAACTATAATGCAATAAGAACTCGCTCAAATACTGGGAAGCTAGACAATTTAGTGCTTTGTAGATAATCAGCAATATTTTCAAATGTATACGATGTTTAATAGGGAGCCAATGCAGTATTGATAGAACCAGGCAAATATGGTCATACTTCCTGGTTCTAGTACGAACTGCTGTGTTTTGGACCAGCTGTAGTTTGTTTATTAAGCGTGCAGGGCAACCACCCATAATAGCATTACAATAATCTAGCCTTGATATCATTAACCCATGAACTAATTGTTCCGCATTTGTCACTGAGAGCATATGGCGTAATTTAGATATATTTATCCACAAGTTTCCTACGCCCCATGAGGCCTTGCGTCAAAAGTGGACGCGACTTCCGGTTTGAAGTAAACAAAGCGCTACTTGGCATGCTTGACACTCGTTCATTCAACAGTTGACAGTCATTCAAGTTATAGCGATCCAAACTAGCTAACGATGTGGGAACACAACCTCAACGAAATTAAAAAGGGTGAAATAACAGTACCTTTACCCTCTGCAGTAGTTGATTGGGAGTATTATAATAACATTATTAATAATCAATACTCATCAAGGCATGTTGACAGACAGTTGTGCGAGCTGACAAACAATTAAAATAAAAAATACACAATTAGTCATTGTGCTTTGGAGTTTATTCAAAATTATAAATGAATGTGCTACTACTTGAATACATTAACTGGCACTTTTGGTATTCTGTCAACACAGGCTTTGATCCTGAGTTTGGGTGTAACATCAGTAGCGAACAGCCAAACACATGCTGATAGAGTTTATAGAATATTAAGATTTTAAACAAATGTACACAGGATGATTCGTTGTCTTTTGGGAGGTTGATGGAAACTTCAGTCGTTGGTAGGATCACTGTGATTTCGTTTTCAGCTTATGTTCAAAACAATCACGTTTAAGCCACTAAATTAGTTTAGTCCGGTTATACATACAACCGCGAACAGCACATGTTGTCCCTGAGCTCCGTAACGACATCTCTCATAAAGATTTGCGTCTTTAAATAGTAAAATAATTCTCCGAAAAACAGCTAGCCTCTTTGCTAACTAACACACAAAATACCATTGGAATGCTACTTCCGTCGCGTCACCGGAAGTTTCACCCACTTTATTTTTTACATGAGCGCCCCTCGGAAACTTGTGGATAAGATGGAAGAATGGAGTTTTACAGATACTAGAAATGTGACTTTCAAATGAAAGATTAGTATCAAAGAGCAAACCCAGGATCCTAACCGACGACAAAGGTTAGACAGTATTCCAGGTTATTACGTGAGGAAGTTTTTTTTATCCAGAAATTAGAATCTCATTTTTTTCGAAGTTAAGTAGTAGGAAATCAGCTATGCATTCTGTTAATTTTGTGAATTGGTAAGTTTTGTCAGGGAGTGAAGAAATATAGAGCTGAGTATCATCAGCATAACAGTGAAAACTAATGCCATGCTTAGTACAGAGTGAACAGCAACAGTCCTAGTACTGAGCCTTGTGGTACTCCACTGAACTCGTGATCGATAAGACATCTCTTCATTTACTGCTACAAACTGATAACGGTCAGATAAGTATGATTTAAACCATGCTAATGCAATTCCACTAATGCCAACATCATTTTCAAGTCTATTTAAAAGAATGTTGTGGTCAATGTCATAAAATAAGATCGAGTAACACTAAGAGAGAAATACAACCACGATCTGTTGATAAGAGCAAATCGTTTGTGACTCTAATGAGAACTGTCTAAATCCTGACTGAAAATCCTCACAGATATCATTTCTTTCTATAAAGGAACATAGTTGTGAGGAATCGGATATGCCTTTTCTAGTATCTTTGACAGAAAAGGCAGATTCGAGATAGGCCTGTAATTGAGTAAATCTGTAGGATCAAGTTGCGTTTTTTTAACAAGTGGTTTAAAGCCAGCTTAAAAGTTTTTGTTATGTATCCTAATGACAAAGATGTATGCATGATATCAAGAAGTTACTTATAATAATTATGCAGAATTTACTGTTGTTACTATAGTAAGTATACACTCACCGGCCACTTTATTAGGTACCCCATGTTAGTAACGGGTTGGACCCCCTTTTGCCTTCAGAACTGCCTCAATTCTTCGTGGCATAGATTCAACAAGGTGCTGGAAGCATTCCCCAGGGAGTTTGGTCCATATTGACATGATGGCATCACACAGTTGCCGCAGATTTGTCGGCTGCACATCCATGATGCGAATCTCCCGTTCCACCACATCCCAAAGATGCTCTATTGGATTGAGATCTGGTGACTGTGGGGGCCATTTTAGTACAGCGAACTCATTGTCATGTTCAAGAAACCAGTCTGAGATGATTCCAGCTTTATGACATGGCGCATTATCCTGCTGAAAGTAGCCATCAGAAGTTGGGTACATTGTGGTCATAAAGGGATGGACATGGTCAGCAACAATACTCAGGTAGGCTGTGGCGTTGCAACGATGCTCAATTGGTACCAAGGGGCCCAAAGAGTGCCAAGAAAATATTCCCCACACCATGACACCACCACCACCAGCCTGAACCGTTGATACAAGGCAGGATGGATCCATGCTTTCATGTTGTAGACGCCAAATTCTGACCCTACCATCCGAATGTCGCAGCAGAAATCGAGACTCATCAGACCAGGCAACGTTTTTCCAATCTTCTATTGTCCAATTTCGATGAGCTTGTGCAAATTGTAGCCTCAGTTTCCTGTTCTTAGCTGAAAGGAGTGGCACCCGGTGTGGTCTTCTGCTGCTGTAGCCCATCTGCCTCAAAGTTCGACGTACTGGGCGTTCAGAGATGCTCTTCTGCCCACCTTGGTTGTAACGGGTGGTTATTTGAGTCACTGTTGCCCTTCTATCAGCTCGAACCAGTCTGGCCATTCTCCTCTGACCTCTGGCATCAACAAGGCATTTCCGCCCACAGAACTGCCGCTCACTGGATGTTTTTTCTTTTTCGGACCATTCTCTGTAAACCCTAGAGATGGTTGTGCGTGAAAATCCCAGTAGATTAGCAGTTTCTGAAATACTCAGACCAGCCCTTCTGGCACCAACAATCATGCCACGTTCAAAGTCACTCAAATCACCTTTCTTCCCCATACTGATGCTCGGTTTGAACTGCAGGAGATTGTCTTGACCATGTCTACATCCCTAAATGCACTGAGTTGCCGCCATGTGATTGGCTGCTTAGAAATTAAGTGTTAACGAGCAGTTGGACAGGTGTACCTAATAAAGTGGCCGGTGAGTGTATGTAACTTAATTAATTGTAATTGTAAATTAAATGTTACCAAAGTCTCTTATGCTCACCATACTTATTTCTGTACTATCACCAGATATTTGTATCCTTAAGTAGCCTATCATACTGGCTTTAAATTCTGATAAAAGTTACCATGACGACCAACCAAGGGGTTTTACCCTACGAATGTACGACAATGTTTCTTCAGTCGAGCAGAAAACCTCCCAGCAGAACTGTAGTGAATTATTTACAGTCATTTATGTTGTAATATTAATGCCGGCTAGATAAAAAGGGGATTGTTCATCAGTGGGAATGTTGTTTACGATCATTTCCTGAGCAGGATGCTTATCCAAAGTGCTCACCATAAACATTTTTGATTTGTCACCATTTTTACTTGTCAGTGCACAGCAGTGAATAATTTCTTTCTCTTGTCATTTTATACAGCATTGGCTGGACCCGAGCAAACCAGTAGTGAAACAGATGAAATGTAAGTTTCATTGCCCTCAAGGTGGCAGCAAGTCACATTTACTGTTGTTCGTGAATTTTTGTCGGTGAAACTGGAATTGTGCATAAGGTGGAAACGTTTTCCAATTCATATTTCACAAAGGGTTCAAGTTGGACACACGGGTTTGTTGCTTTGACCGATATTAAGCTGCATGGTTTGAAAGTGACTTAAACTGTGCATCTCTCCTTGCTATTTACAATAAACAACGGACTTTTTCTTGCCAATGTGACCGGTAAAACATCACTCGCATTTAGAGATGTTTATGTAGAATTACAGAAGGGAGGTGAATGAACACGTAGCGGACATGTGACAGAGAGAGATCGTAGACAAAGTGACGTCAATGAGGTCAATCTTTCCCTTTGAGCTGTAAACTTCTCAGACTCATTACGTTTATCTTTGAAGGCTTCATTTCATTCTTCACCAGAGGGGTTTCCCTCATCTCACGGATTAAAATAATCATTTTAGCTCTCCTCATGCCCTTGGTTACAGTTCTCTGCATAATCTGTCTCACACTTACTGGCTTACGCTCAAGTTGTCTCTCTCTCCCCTCATCTGATTGTTGATGTTGTGCTGTTTTCAGGTCACCAGCCATACACTATGTGCTTCAGGGTGAAGTTCTACCCTCAGGAGCCAATCAAGATCAAGGAAGAGCTGACAAGGTAACAGTTCTCTGATCTAATGTTCAAATTGCATTTGAATGACATAAAAACGAGCCCGGCCAGTCACAGTATAAACAGCCCCTGAATCGCTCAAGTCAAGTATATGAGATTGAGGATTTTCTGGAAGAGATTTGCATTTTTAAAACGCCTCCTGAGCAGATTGTTCCAGTTTCATTTGAAAGAGCATGTTTACTTTGTAGCTGAAGCCAGAACGGCTGATCGGTGGCTTCTTTCATGTCAAAGTAACCAATGTGATCTTATTACAGTGCATCTCACATTCAAATGTCACTCCAAAATCAGAAGAATTGTGGAAATATATTTTGTTAGAAAAAAATATAAAAAGCTTTTTTTCACAAATTTTACAAAATAAGTAAATGTAATTTTTTGGGCACTTAATTGCAAGTTAATTGTAATTAAATGAAAATGTATTGTAGTTAATATTGTTGTAGATTTATATTCAATGCTGTCAGTTCAAATTATAATTGCTTTTCTGAACCACAAATAGGGCTTAATTACGTCTTCATCCCCTTAAGGCTTAAGCTAGTCCCAGACTAAAATATATATGTGAGCTGTCTGAAAGTAACTTGCACTGACACAATCTTAAAATATGTCAGCGCCATTTTTTGGTCTCAAGATGCACACCAGTAATGTTTTATTCTAAGGCATGTTTATAAAATCTACTTAAATGCCCTAATTGAACTAAGGCCTAACCCTGTCTTAATCTAAACCCTGTCTGTGAAACCAGGCCTATATGTAATTTCACAATTACTTCTACTGTCTTGTACTGACAAGCATTTAAGGACATAAACTAATACGCTCACCTAAATGATTATTAGGAACACCTGTTCAATTTCTCATTAATGCAATTATCGATTTAACCAATCACATGGCAGTTGCTTCAATACATTTAGGGGTGTGGTCCTGGTCAAGACAATCTCCTGAACTCCAAACTGAATGTCAGAATGGGAAAGAAAGGTGATTTAATCATTTTTGCATGTGGTGTGATTGTTGGTGCCAGAGGGGCCGGTCTGAGTATTTCACAATCTGCTCAGTTACTGGGATTTTCACGCACAACCATTTCTAGGGTTTACAAAGAATGGTGTGAAAAGGGAAAAACATCCAGTATGCGGCAGTCCTGTGGGAGAAAATGCCTTGTTGATGCTAGAGGTCAGAGGAGAATGGGCCGACTGATTCAAGCTGATAGAAGAGCAACTTTGACTGAAATAACCACTCGTTACAACCGAGGTGTGCAGCAAAGCATTTGTGAAGCCACAACACGCACAACCTTGAGGCGGATGGGCTACAACAGCAGAAGACCCCACCGGGTACCACTCATCTCCACTACAAATAGGAAAAAGAGGCTACAATTTGCATGAGCTCACCAAAATTGGACAGTTGAAGACTGGAAAAATGTTGCCTGGTCTGATGAGTCTCGATTTCTGTTGAGACATTCAGATGGTAGAGTCAGAATTTGGCGTAAACAGAATGAGAACATGGATCCATCATGCCTTGTTCCCACTGTGCAGGCTGGTGGTGGTGGTGTAATGGGATGTTTTCTTGGCACAATTTTGGCTACAGCTATTGTATATAACTAATATATAACAGCTAAATTCTATTTTTTATTTTAACTGTACTCTTTATACTTGTGTTTTTAAATTAGTGCCGTTAAATCGATTATGTATGTATATATTGTCACTGGTAGTTGCAGCTAAACAGACGAAGACGATGAATAAAGTTCCAACACCAAGTTTAAAAATAATGTTCCAAAAAAACTAGCAACAGACACTTAACGTAGACGTGGCCGGATAACAAACAGAGGAAAAGGAGGAGACTTAAGAATATCATTCCAGCAATGATTACAAAGATTTCAAGACTTTTTTTTTTTAATTAGGCAAGAACTTTTCTGTTTTTAACTAGATTTTTTCAGACATCCTTATTTTTTCATAAATTCATATAAATCATGTTTGCTCCTCAATTTTTATGTTAATAGGATTTTTTTCCCTCAAAAGGAAGCAAAACATATTCTGAATAGACTGTCAGTGTCAATGTGTATCACATATTCCTCTTACATTATCAGAGAGCGACTTTCCAAGCAAGGGCTTTGATTCCATCGCACTAATTCTCTCAAACACGCACATACACACACACATCTGCACAGATACACAAACACACACTCACAGATTGTTGGTGTGACTGAATCATTAGTGCTGCTCTCACAACATGGTGCTCAGTGCATGTACACCATCTGAACTGTCAAGATAAATGTGTTTGTCTTTCTCGATCTTCCACGCTTTCCCTGTGCGCTGGAAAACGAAAATGTTCCCGTGGCCAGAAGCTTTAGAGAGAGCGAGGCGTATGTGTGTGAGAGGGAGCCCAGGTTGTCTGAGTTTAATGGTTTCATCCTGTAAAAGAGAAAGCAAGAGTGAGATGGATGCGAGATGCATTAATGTGCCAGTTCATGCTATTTTCTGCTCCATACTAGAGTTTTTTCTGTTAAAGCTGTTTGACACAGAAAACAACTATATATATTTTTCCAACCGCTCTCTCTCTCTCTTTAATATTTAATGTAAAGAATGGATTTGAGAGCAGTGGGTTACACAGAGCGAGAATGGAGAAAACAGACACAAAAGCATGATACAAACGTTTGGCAAATCCATTGCAGTTCCGTCATACAAACTTTAGAAATCACCATGAAGTCCAAATGGACCCTGTTATTCTTACTGTTGCATGCTTTTGATCAGTGCACATTATTCCAAAACTAAAAAAAAGTTTAGTTAAAGAACTTGCTTCCACCTCTGAAATTACTGGATACCCTCCATTGACCTAATTATATTTTCCTTGAATATCATGTTTCACCTTTCCAAGAAGTGCACCTAGTTGTATTGAATATGCATTTGTATTTCAATCTGTACTAGCAGGTAATGTCATTTTAATGAAATAATGTTTTGGAAAAAAGTGCACTTTGTAATAATGTAAAATTAAAATGGGAAAGTATTTTTTAAATCATTATGTTTAAATAATTTTTTCATGCTTCAAAAAGTACACTTATTTTGATGTGTTGACTAACATACTAAAGCACATGTTAAGTACTTAAATATAATTTTATCTCTAGGTTGTTATTAAATATTACATTTAAAGTTAACATATTTTAAATGTACTAAATTTTAAATTCATAATTACAAACGTGTAGTTAAAAATATATTGAAATACATGTTTTAGAAGTTTCAGTAGACATTTAAGTATAGTTATTATAGTTTGCCATGAATGCTTGTCAGGACATTCACACTTTAAACATATTTTAAAAACAAGTTATCGTAGAATTACATATGAAGAAGATGTACTTAAGCTCTATTTGAGTTACTACAAAATTCAACTAATTGCATTTATTAAAAGCTAAATTATAATACAATTTAATTGCGATTAACATGTAATTAAGTGTCTAAAAGCTTTGTATTCAGTTTACATTTAAGTACTCTATATTCGTTTAATGTATAATATTTCCAGAACAAGTACTCTTTTTTAATGTATGCTAAAGTGCACTTCTTTTTCAAAGGGAAGTGAAATAAATTGTAAATTCCGTTTGCACTTGTCCTCTCTTACATTATGTAGAGCCATTGTGCATTTTAAAGTTTGACCATAATTAAAAAAAGATATACTGTATATATTGAGCTCCTACTGTACATACGTAGAACACAACCAAATGCACTTTTTTGGTACAGATTCTCATAGGGATTATGTTATATTTATATCATGTTGTACTTATGTTAAAAGTGCATGTCCGTATTCCGTCTTAAATGCCATTGTCAGTTCAGAATAAGCTCTGTGAGTTGTGTCATGTGCCCTAATTTTTTAGGCCTTACAAACGTAACATTTCTTAAAGGAAACAGTAGTGTTGAGTGCTCAGTTATGTTAGTGTACTAAAGCAGGGCTAGCTTGCCAGTGAGCACAGACCATCTGGTAGACTTTTCTGCTCTGAAAATCAGAAGATGATGCCAGAACCGAAGGATTTTGGGGTGCTGTTATCGTTACTGGTGTGTTTGTGCTTATTAGGGCAGATCTCTATGTCCTTCACAACGTTTTTTTTAGATCCAAGTGTGATCAGCTTAGTGTGACGTGTTTTTTTTTACGTCATTCTAAGTTATCCTACACATGATTTGCCCTTATGAACTGAACTATGACGTTGCAAAAACATAAAGTTTGCAATTAAGCATATTCTTTTAAACTTTATTGTGTATGTGATAAGTGCTCATTTAAAAGTATGCTAAAGTGAAGTAAAGGTACTTACGCCTACGGGTAAAGCAGAAGACAGACGATCTTCCCGAAGAAGATAGAACAAGGAAGTACATGGACTAGGGTTGGGTATCGTTTGAATTTGAACGATTCTGATTCCGATTCCGATTCCGATTCCTTGTTTCGATTCCGGTTCCTAACGATTCTCGATTCCGATTCTTTTAAGAGGCAGGGTCAAAAAAAGTTTAGCTAACCTTGCTAACCAACGGCCTTTCTGAAGGAAATAATCCTTTCTGAAGGAAATACTCCTTCTGTAAAAATACTCCTTTTGTCACTAATTTAGCATTTTGCAGAGATTTCGTTATTTTTAGAAAAGTGAAGCCACACTTTGGATCGCCGACGTAAGGTACTCATGTTCGACTCGCGCGGTTATGCCAACACTTCCGGTAGACGCTTCTTCGTTGGTGTTGTTCAGCGGTTTCTTCTTCAGCTCAGCGGACTGTGAATATCGAAACTAGGAATCGAAATTTTTACTTTTGAGCGATTCCGGGAAAAACGAAAAGTTAGACCCGGTTCCAATCGATACTCGATTCTCGATACCCAACCCTAACATGGACACAATACCAAAACAATCCACACTCTTCACACTGGCATCATGACCATCGATGCCAAAGACTACAGTAAAGACCCAAGAACAGGAGATTGGGAGTACGTATAATGGTGACTAGGAATCTGGACGTAGAAGACAGATTGGTGAAGGGGTGTTTTGGGAAGATTTCAAACATTGTCAATAAGAGAAAAGATGGAATCGACATGTTAGGACTTTCCAAACACAGACAGGAAAAAACGCAGAAGGGTGAAGAAGACGACTTGGTTTACATTGATAGATATAAAGAAGAACCTCTTAGAAAAGGAGCAGTTATTTGACAATTCCCATTAAGCTAGCCTACGCCTGCACAGCTCACAAAGTCCAAGGCATGACAATGGAGTATGCCGTGGTGTCAAGAAGATTTTCGAGCCGGGAATGGCCTACGTTGCTAAGGGTTTTAGTGTGAATGCAGCCAAAGAGAAAGAATCCATGGTGAATGATTCAAGTTGAAATTACGCTAAGACTCTTTTGAAATATCTCCTCTCTTGTTGTTTCTCTATGTCAGGTACCTTCTGTACCTACAGTTGAAGAGAGACGTGTACCACGGTAGGCTTTTATGCCCGTTCGCCGATGCTGCGTATCTTGGAGCCTGTATAGTGCAGGGTAAGAATACAACTTCCTCTACAACCAATCACACATTTCATTACGTTGTGTTTTGCAACCAAAGCTTGAATATTATTTGATTTATAACACCAGTACCATGGTGTTCCTGAGCAATTTTCTTCTGGAAGCTTTGTAACTAATGAGCAGTCATATTTCAAACCTCTTTCCATATTTTCTTGCTCAAAGTGAACAACAAAGAGAGTTTCTAATGAATATGAACCTCATTTAGATCAGGAACAGAGGAGAGTCTCTTGTTCTAGATACACGGGTATCTTAATAGGCTCTTTAGCTTTTTCGTGTGGTTATTTGATGATTTCTAAGGCTGTTTGTCTTGTTCTAGCTGAACTTGGGGACTATGATCCTGAGGAACATCCTGTTGACTACATCAGCGACTTCAAGCTCTTCCCCAAACAGTCCCTCAAACTAGAGCGCAAAATCATAGAGATCCACCAAAATGAGCTGAGGTGAGGTTCTGCATGTATTTGTGCGATACAACTTTTCAAAAGTTTGAGGTTGGTATGATTATATTAATGTTTGAGAGTAGTCTCATGCTCACCAATGCTGCTTTTATTTGATCATAAATACAGCAAAAACAGTAATATTGTGACATTTTATTACTTTTTAAAATGCTTTCAGTTAAAACAACTTAAACATGCATTTTAGTCTGGAACTTGGCTTAAGCCTTGTCTGTGAAACCAGGGGTTTATGTTTTTGGAGATCTTAGATTGTAAAATTACCATTGTTTCTGTAGGGGACAGTGTCCTGCACTCGCCGAGTTAAACCTTCTTCAGAGGGCCTACACACTGGACACATATGGAGTGGATCCACACCCGTGCAAGGTAGTGACTCGCCTCAGAAACGTCCAAAATATCTTGTATCTACGAAATATCTAGTATTAAGTACAGATAAAATACAATATATATAGCTAAAATATCATAAATCTGATCTTTTATTTAATTTGTTTCAGGATTTCACAGGATCCACTGCTTTCCTGGGATTCACTGCAAGAGGGTTTGTAGTTTTCCAAGGAAATAAGAGGATACATCTTTTAAAATGGTAACTTTGAAAAACATCTTATTAGTTGCACTCTCAGATTCACTCTACATCTCCACCTCATCCTACTCAGGTCACAAAAATGTCAAAAAGGTCCTTTGTCTATTGTCAGTTGTGTAGTGGTGTATGAAGCACAGCTCACACGGAAGCCACTTTTAAAACAAGAAGCTTTCTGTTGGTCAACATGGCGAATCCCCCTGTTGTGAAATTCCCAATCATGTGGATTCCTATTGAATTGACGGGATTTCACCTGCAAAAATTCTGCAAAAAAAGTCTAGTGTCCACTGAACACCCAGTTATAGACTGTTCACACCAAGGATGATAACCACGATGATAACTTTCACTGTAAAGTTTCTTTCGTTCTTTGAGAATAAAGGCATCCATATCACAACTAAAACAATAACGAAACTGTGGAACAATATAGTTGGAATCACTCTCAGAAAATGAATGCCAATCAGAATCCACCCAAATTTAAAGAATGTTTAAGTGTAGTGTGTTTCTCTTTCTCTGGTGTTTATTAAAAGTGTATTTATTTGTGCATTCTGCATCACGCATCATCTTTATTCGACTCGCTGCATGCAACCATGACAGAATTAAGGATTTAAATAGAAAAAAAGGAATGGATATACCAGCTGTACACCTGCTTCTCCTTGAACAAGAGGATCATTCCCTCGAGGACCACACAAGGGAATTTTTAGATCTGCCGTGCCTGACTCAATATCAGGACCGCTCGCTCTGCAGTTTTATATCACACCAGCCTCAACAAGTGGTCCAAGACATGCCTGCCCATGGAAGGTCCTAAGAGAGTTTTGCTGAATATGTGGAGTGGGTACTTGTCAGATGCGACTATTTCACTGTTCACTGTCTGTCTCGCTGATGAAGACATCGCTAGCCCCACTCCGGACCCAGAGCCCAGCCAGCCTTCAGCCATGCCGTATCACGCTACGAAGAAACAGCCAGATCGATTGCCTGAAGCCACGTTCGTCCTTGACCCTGAGCCTATTAGAGAGTCTGAACAGGTGTGTGAGCTGGAAACAGCATCCATCATTGAGAAAATATTATTTCCATTGAGGGGTTGGATTGGAGTCCCACCCACACTCCCGTCGCTTTGAGGCAATCAATGAAGTGGGTTCCCAAGGAATAATTGTTTGATGAGCTGGATAATAAAATGTTTCAAGGTCCCCAGTCTCTTCTGGTCCTGTCTAGTCCCAAATTGTCTTTGTATCTGCTGGTTCAACCCAGTTCTACCAGAAGGACTCGTGAGATAGAATAATGTACAAAGCATTAATTTATTGACAGCCCAGCAAGCAATGATTTATTAAGGCCCTGTCTCGAGTGCATCTGAGGGCTGCGGATCTGCATTTCCTGCCTGAAGAGGAAGGCAGGGGCGCAGCTGACACCCGGTGGAGGTATGGACAGGACCATCCTGGTGGTGATGGGGAGGGTGTAGGTAATTGTTGCATCAGTCAAACATGTGTAAGTGCCAATCTTTCATACAGCAAGTATTAGGACATGAATGGATAGATGTGAAGGTAATAAGTGACGTTATAAATAAGTCTTCCTGGCAGAACTTATGCTAAGGCTTTTATCTACAAGTCATCTTCGTCTCTGATGGTTCAGTACAGTCCCAAGTCATATTCATTGTCATTAAATCAGACTAGCTCAAAGTCTGCTTCATCACCGTTTGCTCTGCCTAATTCCAAGTATCCCTCTACATGGATGGTCCTGCCCAGCCTTCCTCTGCCTATCCCTCCAGTACCTAGGCCTTGACTCCACTGTCTCCTTTCAGCCCCTTGGCTCCTCCTTTTGTGGTTCCGGAAGACATCAGTCCCAGACATCAGTTCCACCTTGGTCCAGTTCCGCCATCAGCTTCATATCATGTCTCCGGACTTCATCGCAGCCCTCCGACCCAGTCGGCTCCACCTTGGTCTCTCATCCCTCAGGTTCAACTTGGCTCTTTCGTCCTTGGATTTTTGTCAATCTTGTTCTGGTTCGGACTTGCCGATCTCCTGCTGTACCTTTCACCCTTCTGGCTCAGCCAGGCTCCTCCTTCCCTCCGGTTCCACCATTATCCTTTGGTCGCACTGACCCCACGCCGTCACCTCAGTGATGCACACCTGCAGCTCCACCTTGGCACCCCAGGTCTTAAGCTTCACCCTGGGTCCATGTCTCCTTGGTTACTCCTGGGTCTCTTATCACAACTTCACCTCAGTCGGGGCTCCTGTCTCAATCTTCTCAATCAGTATTGCCATGGGCCTTCATCCTGGCTCTGCTCTGAGTCATCCTCAGACTCCTCCCATCTCTGCCCTAGCTCCTCCCTCTATTGTCTCCACCTTGGTGTTCCCTTTTGCCAGCCCATCCAAGGTCTCATCCTTCGGTTCCTCGCCCATCTCCAGAACCCCTCCCTCTCTCCTCTGTTGGAGTATATGGTCATTGTCAGGTTCTCTTTAGTTTAGTTTAGTTTTCATGGTTTTCCCTGTTTCTGTTGGCCTAAGGCCCTGTTTACTCGAGAACGCTCGCGGGTGAAAACGTAAAAATATTTTATCGGATGTGCCTTTCGTTTACGTTTCGTTTGAGGCTCAAAAACGCAAAAAAGTGAAACTACCCTCCAAAATGGAAATCTTAAAAACGCTCCACCGCCGCATTCCCGTGTAAACGGTAAAAACGCAAAAGTCTGCTTGACGGTGAAGGTTGTACGCAGGCGCTTGGACTTGGTGTTGTTGTAGTATGCACTCCTAGCCGCCTGAAGTGCATACTGCATTGAATTTAACACACTTTTGCGTCTCCATTTGCACGCGGATTTCCCACACAAAACGCTCGTCTAAACGCAGAATAGAAAAAGATGACGCAACGCCACTTTTGCATTTTCTCTTCACAATCGTTTCCGTGTAAACATAGCCTAATTCTCATTTCTAGTTTGTTGCCATAGTTTCTAATTAAGTTCCGCATCTGTTTCTTGTCCCTTTAATGATCATCTCTGTGTATTTAAGCACTCAGATCTTTCTGTTCATGGTTTGGTGTCATTATCGTCAATGAGTGTGTTTACATGCACCCTTGTAATAAGATTATTAACGCAATACTTTGATCAAACTAATGTGATTAAGCTCATAATTGTAGTACCATAATCGCATTAAACTATGTGGCATACGCTGATTTTAAGCATACTGAACAGGCATGTAAACACCTTAATTACATTATTACTGCTCTGAACGAAGCGTGCATGTACTCGGACATAGACGGATGCCTTGTGTTGTTCACACAAATTCATGAATGAATTCCATGTCATTATTCTGAAATTTTTTCTTCTTAAAAACTAAATAATATCCAGTACGTCCATAAAAATGTATTTTGAATTTGATGCGAGTAGATTAAAACATTGGCTGGTAACATGCACACTGTATGCCTATTTGAATGTGGTATAACCATACTTGATAACGTTCTGTTGGATGCGCTGCAGTTTTACTGTCTGCCATTTTAAATGCTAAGAATGATTAAAACTATAGTTATCGTTATTGTTGTAGTTATCATCGTTGGTGTGAACAGAAACAAAGCGGAATGTATATAGTGCTTAAGGATATTTTACAACTTGAATATCTTTCAAAGATTTGTTGCAACCTTGCACATTGAACTGTGACTAGGAGCTGTTCATCCTCAAAATCAGCCTGTGAGCTGGTAAACCAAACAGTTTAAAGCCTGTGCGCGCTGACTCACAGACATTATGTAAGGTCAGTTGATCAGATGGAGTATACATCAGCTGATCAATGACTGTAAGTGCTCATGGTCTATGACATACGGTTTTGTAGTGTTGTTAACACCTGCTCTCAGTCAACAAGCAGATAAATGCACTCAAGGCTAGACGTTTGAAGAGTTTTATGTCTATTAATCTCTCTCTCTCTCTCTCTCTCTCTCTCTCTTATTGGCATGACTGTTGGCATGAAGTTTTTGCATTGAATGTGTCACTTGTAAAATTTCATTTGTAATGTCTCACTCTTGCAGGGCAGATGTCAGCAAATTTAAGTTCGAAGGGAAAACATTCTATGTGATTGGTGTGCAAAGAGAGGTAGGATATAATATCTTGTAACTGTTTTTCCTTTAAAGCTCACGTTCATTGTAGTCATATGGTTCATAATGCATTTACCCACCATGCAACGCCAATTTACTTTGACTTAAAACCATTCTGTTTTCTTTTTAATGTTTTGCATTACATCATGATGGTGTTATAAACACAATCTTATGCTATCTTACATTCATTTATGAACTCACTCGCATTGTCTTTTATATATTTATTAACATTCCCTAACCCTAACCCTAACTCTTCATTATACACTCTAAAAAATGATGTGTTGGATTTACTTAAAATATATATGCACCATTTTTGCATCATACTTTTTAAGTAATCCCAACTTGGAATAATTTTACTTAAAATTAACAAGAAAATCTTTGTTATATGTACTTAATTATTTGAGTTCACGCAACATTCTTTACTTAAAAATGTATGCATCACGTTACATATATTTTTAAGTAAAGAATGTCACGTGAACTCAAATATTTAAGTTTATTTTATGTAAAATTATTCCAAGTTAAAAATTTACTTAATTAAATGATTACGGATTACTTAAAAAGTATGACGCAAAAATGGTGCATATATCTTTTAAGTAAATCCAACACAGTGCAGGCCATGTGAGATCAAAACAAATCTTAGTTCTGTTTACTTAACATTCAAGCTCATTTATATATAAAAATAAGACAATTAAATCAGTTGAACCAACCATTTTAACTTATTTTAGATCTTCAGCTTACATGTCTTAAAATAAATTAAACATGCAAATCACACACAATAAAGCATTTCACTTTATTATTTATTTTTTACCCAAAAATTTTAAATTGCATCTTAAAATATATTAAAATAGAAAATAGTTGTTAAAATAATAATAATAATAGTCACAATATTACAGTTTTTTCTTGGATCAAAGAAATGAAGGCTTGGTGGGCAGGCCTATATATTTATTTTTTTCAAAAATCAATAAAAAACAATTAAATGTAACAAATTAGTCCATTATTAAATGCCTATAAATATAAAAATTTGTCTATTAATATCTATTAATTTAAACAAAACAGAAGTTAATTAATGACTTTTGTCCAGAGGTTTTGAACGAATCTCTTCAGTAACTGCAAAACAGTAAAGATCTACAATCTTTATTTGAAGCTAAACTTTTGTTTAAAGGGTATTTACTTATTTTGATAATAATTTTGAAGGTTTAATTTACTGAATGTCGCTGTCATTTAGGAATAATATTGTGCTAGAATCAAGATTGCCATTATTTAATGATAAATTGTGCACACGGAGCTGTAGGCAATGTGTTTTTGAATGTAATATTTATGTTAACGTTACCAAAAGTAGGCTAACCCGCGCCCAAAGCCCCCTTCCCCACGATAGATAGAGAATATGGGAATATGCAAGGTACATTTGTTTTATCCAAAAACAACTCGCTAATAAAGTAGGCCTATAATAGGCTATCCGTGGGGGAGAAAGCGCCGTCCGAATTGGTAACCGAACGGTCAAACACGTCGCGTCTAGTTAGGCGCTTGAATCTTCCGCAGCCCGCTCAAGTTCAAATTTTTCTACCGAGGAAGACGTTCGCGGCAAACGAGTCACCCAATTCGCGACGCCCGGCGCGAATGATGCGTCTTCGCGTCTTTGCATTGACTATGAATGTAATCTGTTATCGCAAATAATTAAATTCACGTTCTGTGTGAACACACCATTAATGCATAAGCCAACATCATGGTCATTTATTTTGAAAAACACAATATACTCTTCAAATACTCGCGTGCAAAACACTTATTTCATTCATTAACATGTAAACGTTTACATTCGTAAGTAACACGTTTCTAATTGTTGATGCAAAATTTGTAGCAATTCTGAAATTCAGTTAAAAGTAAAATTCTTGACCAAAAATGCAATAAATGATCATGTGTAGGCCTAAGTACAAAAAATAAGCTTACCTCTTCTCAATGTCTTCACATGTGCTGTGAAATAAAATGGCTTAAATTTTTTGTCTGGATAGGCATCACGGGAAATTGCATATCACGTGGCTCATATAGTACTTAAAATGATATGCTAGATTTACTTAATTTTGACGCAAGTTGACATGCCTTATGTATTTTTTATTTTATTTATACATACATTTAAGTGCACCTAGTAACTTATATTTTTGTGTTACACACACTATATATGTTAAGTAAACGTTGAAAAGTTATGAATACTTAATTTTTTATGTTTGATCCAATTACTTTTATAAGTAATGGTTGTTCGGCCAACGAATCGTTTTTTAGAGTGTACAGTATATAGCTGAAAATATTTTTTATATATTTATACATAATAAAACATATTAAATGTCTCTTTCACCTCGACATTTTGACACAGATATCCAATTAGAACAGATTTAAGGCCCATTCACACCAAGGACAATTATTGTAAGGATAGCTATAAGTATACAATTTAAATCATTGTCATTATATAATAATAGAGCCCACACCACATCTATAATGATACCTGCACAGAGGAACAATATCATTAAAATAACTTTCAGAACAATTTTTCCCCTAGCTGATGAATAATAAAGAGCCAATTAGAATTCATCAGACTTTAAAAAACTTGAGCATTTAAAGGTACAATATGCAAGATTGTTTCGCCACCAGGGGTCGCTAAGCTCTTACAATAACAAAAGCGTATATTAATGACGTATATTCTGCATTAAGCGGAATTATGGATCTTGTCGTCAAGCTGATGGATATTTTATGGATGAGTGAATACATTGATGTTTTTAACATGACTGTAGTATGAAGCAGGGCGCGATTGCTAGACTATACCAGCGCCACACGCAACGCGAGTCCCGCGGATATAAAGGAATAAGGTCAATTCATTCTACTGAACTACACGCAAGTGTTGAATTACTCACACAGGTCAGTTTATTAGAGGAATTAAACTTGAGGTAACGCAGCGCTGCTTCACTTGCTCTAAACGTTTCAATATCATACTAAACGGCATTTGTGTTTGTTAGTTAGGTTGTTCATTGGCTGTATGAGACTAAACTAGATTAACATTAGAGAATAACATACAAATCTTATTCTAACTTTTCATCATGTTGAACTACTAAAACATTGATTAGTTTTACATACATTAATTTGCTCACCTGTTTGCTCAAGTAACATGCAACACTCGCATCTCTGTCAAGTCGAAGTTATTCGCGTACGTGGAGCTCTCGGCATCTCGAAAGATGTTGATCTTCGTTTTAGTCCTCTTTTTGTCTCAAAGTCTGCTTACCATGGTCCATAATGTTTGACAAAACCCTGCTAGGAACGCTCACTCTGTTGAGCTCACACAACGGGCATAACCGACCCAGTTATCCACGTCTGTCGCCATGGTTACTATTGCAGTACGAGGTCAAACCTGGTGGAAACCGGGGGTAACGCGGAAATGACGCCATTGACTGGCGACTCCTCACCCCTGCACACACGCCCCGTTTTCTTGGTTAAAAATCACAATTTTCTCACGATTTACTGTACAAATAGTTGGAAACATTTGGGATATTTTAAGTAATCAACTAAACAAAATATATAACATTGGCCTAGTGGTTTTTGGAAATTTTACTGCAAAAATCCTACATATTGTACCTTTAAAGCGGCTTACGACATAACTACAGAAGGTCGAGGCTGTTGGCGTTGGCGCTAATATAGTTATTATTATCATCCTTGGTGGAACGGGCCTTTACTCAGCGTCGTGTGCCTTTCATTCTGTTTGTGTCACGCTTTAAATCTAGTTTTACATGTGCTTCTGTCTTCTTTTCTCTGTGTGAACTTTTCCATTGCTGGTGAGTAAACATGTACATCATGGCCATTGATTAACTTATGAATTATTATTATACAGCCTTACAGTACCTTACCCACATATCTGTCCTGATTTTAATAAGACTTTAGTTGTTGTGCCCAACATAGAGTATTCATAGAAATTTCATGAGCAACACAGTCAGGAATGATAAACATCATTATTATCAAGTATTTCACTGGATTTTCTAATTAAAATGATTTATTTAGAATTTACGTTGATAAAAGTAATTATTTTGTGTTAGGCAGACACATCATATTTTTAAGCTGTAAAAAGTAATTGGTGATTTTCTAAAATGTATTTATTATTCTCAAATATGTTTAGTATTATATATGATATAAATATTTTTAAGAAATGTTGTGGAATATGGATTAATGGGATATTTTTAATGAAATTTAAGCAATGATACTGTCCACAATTCCGAATAATCTCATATAATTAGTTAATGTTAATGCTAGCAAAGCTTTTTTTTTTTGATATTATAAACTGAATATTACAGTGGTACATGTTTTTAAAAATCCTTATAATAATCCTTATTACTGTAATTAAATTGCTAAAGTTATTAGGCCCTTATTGAGTCTTGATTGAAAACCATTTGTTTTACAAAAAGCATTACATATTTGTTAGGTTGCGTCTGAAGTTATGCATATTATATGATGGGTATGAAACTAAAGTGTTGTTCGATGTCTAAACCTGTGTGTGTTAATTCTGTACACCATGTCATCGCCTGTCTGGTTCACCACACATGCAAGTCTGAAAGTTTCTGGGTTGATACTGTATGTGTGAACAGTAAGAACCATTGTATGCTGGAAGTCTGCTCCTATCTGCATGTTCACACACACACTCGAACAGATGTTGTGTGTGTGTGTGTGTGTGTTATACTGGACATGTGACTGTGTTTCACACAAGCACACGTCTGTGATTCCACTCAGAAGTGTTGGAGTGTAGACCGTTCACTATTCTAAGAGTTTGAGCAATGGCTGACCTGTTCTGCTACTCAAATCTCACAGAAGAATTTTTGTTTTATTGCTCATACTTAGAGTCAGGCATTTAACCAGACCTTAAAGACCTTGTGCAGCACTGACATGAATAATAATAATACTTGTGGCTTATTGAGTAGATTTGTGCTATTACTTTTTTTTTCTTGGACAATAAACTTAGCAAAAAATCAC